GTTTGATCAAATCAACTAGAAATACAGCATTATTGCGCATACAAATAATCATTACAACTACTTAAATGAATTTCTATCGTTCGTACGCATATTCCTTAAATAATGGCAAATGTAAAATTCATCACATTGTTTGCTCGTCATCAAACTTGAGTCGAACCGATTCAACTAATACATTAACAATAAGCAAGAAGATGTAATCACGGAAGTTGATTAGTAAATATTTCGCTTTCTATTAGTGGTTTGATAATGACTTTGGTTGGCGGATATTAGTGACTTGATAAACGAAAGTTTTTTATAAACATTACTAAAAGCAAACTTATTGTTAATGCAATCTATATTTATTCACATTTTACGTTTCTTCTTCAATGTAAACTAATTAATAAAACACTTAAAATAATGCAACTAAGCATCTCTTAGAAACATTGATGGATGGAACTGTAAAATGTGTGCATAAAATTAGGAAATTTTTTGAGTAAAAGTGCTCTATTTTGCAGTGAAATAATCACTGTGTATGGAACACCTAGATGCGCACGTAAAATTAAGAGCTGAAGTGATTTTCTGAACGAAAGTTACTGAAGAGTGCCACTACTTGATAACAGCCCCGCTTGTTCTATGTAGTATTATACATCAACATAATATTCGTCGGTTCTGTTCCGCTTTAATAATGTATACACATATTCAAACTGACGAAAACAAATAACACTATTATCATATGCAATCAATATTATATGAATATAATTCACCTACATGTATGTGTATGTGCATCTTTAGTTGTTGTGCATAACGCATTTTGTTGCTACTGCAGGTTAAAGATGATGCATCTATCTTAGCATGGCATTCTGATGTTGATGCAATGTTCACATTCGTATAGAGCGCGAAATAATTGAGTCCGCATGGAGAAATTTAGATGCAATTGAGTAATTAAGTAATTTATTGAGTAATACAATAACATCTTCATGCTTTTAATTTACAGTCGTTCAGCTGTTATGAGTCTAACTGAAATTAACATTTTTATAAACCTGCATATGAAAAACAACGATTTCGAAATTGGAATGGAAACTATCAGAGAAAATCACCCTCACTGAGACTATTAACAATAATTATGATCGAACGGTTGCCGATTCCAACTTACAATATAATTAAAAGAATTTGAAGGCCGCGTTCTTTGTGCATTCTAATTCGCTTTGTTGCCTATAATAATGAATCCTTCACATAAATGCGTTCTCGGTCATCTATTCGAATCACAGTCTTTTATGAAAATGTGAACGAAACAAGGTAACTACGGAACGAAAACAGTGGAAGAAAAACGAGACCGCTAATGACTTTCACCTTATTCCTTTGCCAAATTGCATGAGAAAAATGATGGAAAATAGTTGATGAGACACTGCAGACGTATGTGATGAAAATTATTAGCTGTATGATAAGAGTGCTTTTTCTGGTTGTTTAAGTGCTTGGATTGTTAAATGCTGGTCAACAGAACAATAAAATTTTTTAACTGCGTGTTTACAAAGGAATGAAAAAACAATTCAATTCAAACGTGCACATACAATTCACGATATAAGCTAGTGCATAATGGAAAGGACTGAATCAAACAATACCAGAGATGAACCGTGAATCAAGATACAATACAAGTCATGACAAGTCAAGTGATACATGATGATGGATTTTTTACTTTGGATATTATTTAAAGACTCTCCTAAGCAAAGTTATACTTCGTCTATGATGCTTTTCAGAAAAGTCTTCCTACAATAACATATCAAAAAACAATAACATTCTATTCAACTGTGATCGAAAGCAAAATTCAAACCAAAAATAAATAAATAGCAACAATAGTTATATTGCGTCATCATTAAACGATATCATTACGAAAACTTTTTCTTAAGTGATAATCATCTCAGAAACGCGGAACATTCGACGATTATGCCAGTGCCAGATGTTTACAAATGAGTGAATTCAATATGCGTACTTTTAATGATTTGCTTATTGCAGAACACGGCTCTATCAATGAATAACTCCACTCTTGCAAGCATCATAAGTTGCAGTGCACATGTTTACGTGCCACTCAGTGGAATGTCACATACATAAGCGTTCGTTCTGTTGCTATTTAAACACTATTAGCGAATGTTAATCTAAGCTGCGTATTTATTGCTGGCAGCTCACTCACGATTCCAATCGCTCACCGGACATCTGTCGTTTGTTGCAAGATCAAATCAACAACTGAATCAATTAAATTTTGAAATGAAATGGTATTTGAGAAAAACCATCAATAGTGTCCCTTCAAATGACTGAATTCAAGTTCCCGATTACATATCAAATCAATTTTACTCTCATCATCACGTTAAAAAAAACACTTCCAGCACGAATACAGTTTTTTTCCTACTTTTTTCACTATGAACTTTCAGTTATACGACATCAGATATCGCTAAAAATACTCAGATATCTCTGAAAATACGATCCGCTTCGAGTGCGCTATTACTCCCTCATTGAAACACTCTGCTTGGATGAACGTGTTTTGCAAGAAGAGAGGTAATTTAGAGTTGATTAGAACAGATATGAGCCTATAAATTCCTGAGTGAAATAAGGATTTCAATGCCCAGAAATAAGCTTATTAAACTAATGAGATTATTACTATTAAATAGTGAGCGTTAAACTATTCCATATTCAGGTTGATCTGCCATGGATGATAATATAGGGATAACAACATAAGCTAACATATAGCGTTTAAATCACCTGAATATGAAAAACATCGGTGATTAGATGCTTAACTCAACGTCATTCTCCTACACACATATGAGCACAGACAATCTTCTCAGTCAAATAACTCCTACGAAAATAATTCTAGACCATAGTCTTACCAAACCTTCTGTTAAACGGCCAGTTGGATGAATCGGCAGAAGTGTCATACTTAACGCATCGTTTAAAGATATATTGATGAAAAGGTTTTGGAACAGGACTTTCTGCTTCAAAACATGTGTTCCTTATCAATAAGTGAGGTTATAACACAATACCTTTTATTATTACTTCATCAATATCTTTTATTATTCCATTAATCAGACTTAAACGTACTGTTAGTTAGAACATAACAACACCCGAAGGATGGGTCTAGTGGTAATCTCTCATCCACAAATCTCGAATGATAGATTCCCACTAGTGATGTCTCTGTTCCAGTTAAGCTATTCTACTCCTGTTCTACTCCAAGGAATATAATAGATCAGTTCGCAAATGGGGAACGCACAGAATAGATTAGAATAGAATAGAACACAATAGAATAGAATAGAGTAGAGTAGAATAGAATAGAATAGAATAGAATAGAATAGAATAGAATAGAACATAATACAATGGAATAGAATAGAGTCGCTTTTGAGCCCAAAAGGATAGAATAGAATAGTTTTTAAATGATTTTGGCTGTTCCTTAAACTTTTATTATCATTATTTGTTCTTTGTGAAGAATGCAGTGAGATAAATTACCATTATTATATTATTGCTGTTATGATTAATTAATATTATTACAATTATTATTATTATTATTATTATTATTATTATTATTATTATTATTATTATTATTATTAT